TTGAGGCTGGGGGAAGAGTCACCAAGCATACAGTGATCAAAGCATTTCAGCCAACTTTGAACAAATTAATCTCTCCAACTAGGCCCCCCAAATGTGGCCTTGATATTATCTCTGCCATTTCCCTGGGAAACTTGGTATAAATTTCTCAGAAACCAGGCCAGAGGGTCTTTAGGCCGCCATCTGGTAGCACTAAGCAAGTGTACCTGAAAGTCAGTCATAATAAACAGACTGTTTCCCACCACCCCATGATATCCTCACAGCCTCTCTGTGATTTTTATCCTGAGATTTCCCACAGAATGCCTGGGCAGGGGGTAGCGGGAGGGTCCACACAAATATAATATCTGAAAATGACACCAACATGAATCATATTAATTATACGAAATCTTCAAAGAAAGACAACTTTTTATCTAGCCTGCGTTAGATCACACTGCAATACTGAAGAAAGCAAGGTCTTCCTTGAAATGCCAACCAACTCCAATCTGCATCTTTCTTCCTTCTCTTGGGCAGGGAAAAGACTTTGAACTTCTGACTCTTAACGTCTGAACATCCTTGCTCTTAGATTTTTGCTTCTGCATCACTAGAATGCTAATCATACCTCATCAATTTTTACTATTAGAAAAAAACCTCAAGAGATTAAATGAGCTACAGTTGTTCCTAGAACAATATCTAGCATTTGGTCAGCAAGCATGAGTCTTACTCTTTCTCCTCTATTTCTTTGCCTTGGGCAGTTGAAATAGAAAAAGAAAGAAGAAAAAAATCATCGAAATCAACCATTAGGTAGCTAGACTTCTCTCTTTAATTTCTGGGGGCTTCAAGTCTGGTAGGGATCAAATTGAAATATACAAAAACATATTGTGCTAAGTTCTTCCTTCCCAAATTTAGGAAAAGCTTTGAAAAATGATGTTTCTCTCCAACTATAGGCCTTACTTTGGACCTTTAATAAAAATAATGGACTTATTCTAAAAAAGAATGGTGACTTTACATCTTTTGTATTAATTTGGATGGAGTTGAAATACATTCTTCTTAGTAACACATCACAAGAATGGAGAAGCAAGAATCCAATGTACTCAATTCTTATATGAGGACAATTTACGCTAGTCCATGGTGAGGAGAGGATGAATGGGAGGGGAGGAGAGGGAAGGAGGGAGGGGAGTGTGGGGCCACAGTGTGTGACATACCTCTTGGGGGTGGGACACTATTAATAGAAGGACTTCACCCAGCAAACACAAGCAGTATAACCTGGCTCACTGTAGCCTCAAGGATTCCCCAACAATTAAAAAAAATGGACTGTTCTACTAAATTTTACATATGTTATTCAAAACTGCATATATTTTCAAACCTATAAAATTCTCTTAAATTTCATACTAATTTATGTGAACTAACTATTTTGCTCTTTATATGGAATTGAAAATGGAAAACAAGCTACGGGAACACATAATTCCAGAACCATCTCTCGCAATAACTCACTGGCTGATCTTTCACAGCCACTTCACTTCCTCGGTCTCTTTCTCCTCAAATGCCAAATAGGGAGACTAATACCTTCTCAGCCTACTTCACAGGAACACTGAGAGGAAACTGCAGCTAGAAAAGGGGCTAAGAAAAAATCAGGAGCGATACAGACGTGAGATAAAATGGTGTGTTGTGTATCAAGGTGCTGGAGTCCATTCTTTATTTCTAAGCAGCTTTCAGATTATATAATTCACACAATTGCACACATGTAATTCTGAGTGAGATGGAGCCATTTCTTTTGGATTAGACACAAGTTTTGTTTAGTGTCTGTGCTAAAAATGTGCAGAGTGGCATTTCTGTGATGGTGTGAGGTTTAAGATACACAGGTTTGTTGAGCTATCAGGAGCTGAAACCTGGTGAATTCTCATCTAAAGAGGCAGAGAGATACAGAAGAGGATGTCTGATTCAAGTGTCACACACTATCCTGATCCCTTGGAGTACAAAGTGTGTTGGGCGTCTCGGAATTCTGTGTTTCCTAGAAGTCACAGGACTCAAAATAAAGTTGAGGCTATGATTTATTACAGTTAAATGATACAAAGCAAATTAGCAAAGGGGAAGACTCTGGGACACAGTCTGGAGGCAACCAGGTATAAACTCCCAGAGTCCTCTCCCAGTGGAGTCATACAGGAACAAGATGCAACAACACGTGTCAAATGCTGCTTACCAGGGAAACTCGTCAGAGTCAATGCCCAGGGTTTTGTTTGTACAAACATTACATAGAAGAAGCCATTGTTACCAAGGACTGTTAGAAACCCTGCTGAAATCCAAGTTCCCAGAAGCCAGCCAAAGTCCAATCTTGCAAGCAGGGCTTTTGAAGAACAGCATTTTGGGGTCTGCAGTGTTAACTCTTTTAAGCACACAGAGATAATAAGCAATTGCAATACAGTAGGATAAATGTGATGACTAATTCATTTGCTCAAGGCAGTGATTTTCAATCTGTGTGCTGTGGCACACTGGTGTGCCGCGAGAAGATTTTAGTTGTGCCACGAACATTTTTAAAGATCATCAATTAACTTATTTTCCAAAGAAATTCAAGGCACGGTAAGTATATTCCCTTTTTTTTACTTATTTTTCTTGATCAACATAATTTAAGTGTGCCACAGAAAATAACTATAAGTTCAAGTGTGCCATGAGATAAAAAAAGGTTGAAAAACACTGGACTAAGCTTTATTGACCCTTTGAAGAGTAGGGTACAAATGAATAAATTACAGATGGTGGCTAATTTGTCACACTCAACTCAGCATCGCAATAGCTCCCTTCCCACCCACTGACAAGCGACTTTTTCTTCAAAAAGCTCTGTAGCTGGGCTCCAAATTCCTCACCTTAGCCCCATCCAGAACCTACTGTACATGAGAGCTGTGCTTTCCATCGGGCATATAATTTCTTCCTGCTCAGCCCCTTAGGCAAGTGTTATGGGCTACTTCTCTGCTTGATGTGGCCAGATTCTGGCTTGGCTCCAGATGCAATTTGACCTGTTCTGCCCCTCCCTACCTCAGCCACAATTCCCAGCACCCACATTTCATCTGGCCCCTTAGACCCCCTGTCCACTAGAGGGGGCCACATCTTTCCTGGATGAACCCTGGTTACTTGGGCTTATCCCCTTCCCTCTGTCAATGACTTCAAAGCCATGCTGTTTCCACCCTGGAGCCAATTGCCTGGAGCTGGTCAGAGTTTGAACTTCAGGTTTCTCCACCTTTCCTTCTGGAATCTTTGCATGCAGGAGCTCGATGTGCTGCACATTGTAAGTCAAGGGGCAGACTTGGATTTTAGGAAGATCCCAGGCAGGTGGAAGGGGACAAGGTGGGGAGTAAGTCTGGAGGCAAGAAACAAAAATAAGAATTTTTTGTGATAATCTTTTAAGAGGTCAGAGGGCTTTACCTAGAACCAAGGCAGTGCGTGTTGAGTGGAGGAGACAGATATGAGGAATATTAGGAAAAACAAACCATTAGGACTTCAGATCAGGGGAGGGGTAACACCGGAGTGGAGCAAGACTCCCTGGCCTCTGGCACTCAGGGATCAACAGCTTTGACAGAAGCCCTATTAAGGTAAGTTTCAAAACTATTAAGAATACACCTGCGAATATTCTCGCCGTTCTGATTTTGTAATAATCAGCACAGGCTAAACATTCGCTATATAAAAACCATGCATGTGGTTTCTATATAGTTCTAGACCTAGTTCTTTTCCTAGGTTTGGTTTTATAAATGCTGGTGATAAATGAAGAAAAAAAAAGAATACAGTATAAATGTCTTACCACAACAAATAAGTAAGCAGGGAGATGGTTATGTTAATCAGCTAGATGTAAGCATTCCACATTGTACAGCAAATCAGCACATTGTACCCCATAAGTGCATTAATGTACACAGTTAGGATTTACAAAGGAATAAAGAATAAGGTAAAGAAAACATTCAGCTCTTTCGGGATTCTCCATACTCCTTTCCAAAAGCCTAGTTTGCAATCCCATCAACAGCATAGAAGTGTTCCCTTCTCTCTGCATCACCGGCAGCATCTGCAGCTTTGGGACTTTGTGAGGCATGTTAGTCTTGCTGGGACTAGGTGATACCTCAAGGTGGTTTTGATTTGCATTTCTCTGATGATAGGGATGATGAGCATTTTTTCATGTGTTTATTGGCCATTCATCTGTCTTCTTGGGAGAAGTTTCTGTTCATTTCTCCTGCCCCAAGAGTAAGGGGGTTGTTTGTTCTTTTCTTGCTGATTTTCTTGAGTTCTTTGTAGATTCTGATTATTAGCCCTTTGTCAGATTTGTAACATGCAAATATCTTCTCCCATTCTGAAGGTTGCCTGTTTGTAAAAGTAGATTTTCTATTTGATCCTGCAGTCCCATTACTAAGTATCTAGCCAGAAGAAAAAAAATCATTTTATCATAAGGACATTTGGACTTATGTTTGTAGCAGCTCGATTCACAACCACAAAGATGTGGAAATAACCCAAGCACCCATCAACCCAGGAATGGATGAATAAATTGTGGTAAACATATACCATTCAGCCATAAAAAGATGGAGACTTTACATCTTTTGTACTTACCTGGGTGGTGTTGAAGTACACTCTTCTTAGTAAAGTGTATCAAGAATACAAAAGCAAACATCCCATGTACTCAATACCAATTTGAAACTAGTAGATGAACAACTACAGGCCCACACAAGAAAAAAACACAGTTGAATTCAAGAAGCAAGGGTGGGGAGATGGAGAGGATTCAGTAAGGTCTCCCCTAACTGGTATGATGTGAGGGTATATTTATGGCACACCTCCTGGGTGAAGGGCACAGCTACAACTCAGACTTTACCTTATAAATGCAAACAATGTAACCTAATTATATGTACCCTTAAGTAAATCTGAAATTTAAAAAAAAAACAGTAAAGAGCACCGAGGATTGATGTTGAATCTAAATGACTTTAGACCATGGCTTCCCCTTCACCTTTTCCTCTCTACCTGAAGTGTTCTCCTTAGGGTTTGTTTTGTTTTTTCCTTTGAAGATCCAGAAATGCCCTTGGTGTGCTTGACGGACTTTGAGGTGCAGGCGCGAGAGCAGCTGTCTAAGACATCTTGGGATTTTATCAATGGAGGAGCTGACGAAGGCATCACCAGGGAGGACAACATCGCAGCATTTAAAAAGTTTGGTCTCCCGTAGCCTTATGTTGTTAAGCTTAAGTTGCACTGGCTGAAACATACTTGGGCAACAGTAGTTCTGGTTTCCGCCTCCAAAAAATACTCCAAATAATAATGTGGCTTTGTTGGGACCAAAATTCACCGCTGAGAGACCACCACGCACATGCAAAGACAATGAAGTGCTTTATTTGCAAACATATGCCTGGGTCACTCCACCCTAGAGCATAGCCAGTGGAAGGGCGACCCCAAAATGAAGCAAGGGGAGGTTTTTAAAGTGTATAGAGGAATTTCATTGGGCGTTTTGTCGGGAGGCGTTGCCATTGGCTGAGCTGTTGTCCAGGGATGCTTGGCACCACCTGATACACCAGAGGTGCTATAGGGTGGGTTTAAGGTTAGGGACTTTCCAGAGGAGGGTTGCCTGTTCACTTCTGATAGACTGGCTCCCTCTCGGCTGATTGAGCTTGTCCAGAAATGTGGAGGTGGGGGTGGGGGAAGCCGGTCCCCTGCAGACTGGCTGCCAAGGAGTGCAGAGGAGGGAGCCAGTCTCTTTTCGATAGACTGATTCCTCCTGGGCAACTTTGGCGTCACAGCTCACAGCAACCTCAAACCCTTGGGCATAAGTGATTCTCTTGCCTCAGCCTCCCAAGTAAGTGTGACTACAGGCAACTGCCACAACACCCAGCTATTTTGTTGTTATTGTTGTTGTTGTTACAGTTGTCATTGTTGTTTAGCTGGCCTGGGCTGTGTTCAAACCCACCAGTGTATGTGGTTGGTGCCCTACCCACTGAACTACTGGCACCACCCCCAGTACTAATTTTCATACAACCCACAAGCTAAGGATAGTTTTCATTTTTAAGTGGTTGATGGGAAGGGAGAGGGGAGGCAAAAGAAGAATTATTTCTGGCATGTAAAAATTTTATGAAATTCAATATGTTTATATGGATACATATACAATACATGTATATTTTTTTTAGATAAGGTCTTGCCCTGGGTGGACAGTGGTCCAGTCAGAGCTCACTACAGCCTTGAATTCCTATGCTCAAGAGATCCTCTCACTTCAGCCTCCCAAGTAGCTGGGACAATAGGCACACACCACCATGCCCAGCTTATTTTTTGTTATTCCTGTTTTTATAGAGATGGTGTCTCACTGATTGCCCAGGCTGGTCTTGAACTTTTGGTCTCCTGCCTTGGCCTCTCAAGTGCTGAGATTACAGGCTTGAGCCACCGTGCCGAGCCTGAAATTTAAATTTTAAAATCCATAAATAATGTTTTATTGGCACACTGCCATGCTCACAGTCATTTACTATTATTTATGGGTACTTTTGTGCTGCAAGAGTAGAACTGAGCAGTTGTTAAAAAAAAAAAAAATTGACCAATTGTGACAAAGACTAGAATATTTACCATCTGAGCCTTTATGCAAAAAATCTGCTGACTCTTATAATAGAGAAGACAGGGGAAACCTGAAAACGGTATGGAAAGCAGGCACTGTATTCTACACGTTTGTGCTGCACTAGCACTGTGCGAGGCACTTTGACTGACTCATCTAATTTTGTTTTCACGAAGCTGTTAGGAAATTTGGATTATAATTCCTACTTCACAGATGAAATAACAGAGGCTACCTTACTCCAGTTTGCACAATTAATATTTTCAGAAAATGTTTCTAAGTTTGTGCCCAGAAATAATATTTATTTTGTGGAAAACAGAAATATTTTGACCCTCACACTAAGGTATCTGTTTGTCTTTTAAAAAATGTGTTTTACATATTTATCATTTGTGAGTTCTCTTACTTTCTTTTAAAGCAGTACTTCTTTTTTTTTTTGAGACAGAGTCTTACTCTGTAGCCCTGGGTAGATGGCAGGGTGTCACGGCTCACAGCAACCTCAAACTATTGGGCTCAAGCAATACTCTTGCCTCAGCCTCCCGCATAACTGGGGCTACAGGCATCCATCACAATGCCCAGCTAGTTTTTTTTATTTTTAGTGGAGAAGGGGATCTCACTCTTGTTTAAGCTGGCCTTGAACTCTTGAGCTCAAGCAATTCACCGCCTCAGCCTCCTAGAGTGCTGGGATCATGGGTGAGCCATCACGCCCAGCCTAAAGTGGTATTTTTTAAGTCAAATCTTAAAATGAATGAGCTGCTAGACCAAAGGTCATGATCACTCCTGGGACTTGTCCTCTTTCAGTAGCCTTTTCTTACTTTCTGGACACTTGTTTTTGACTGGAGAAGAAACTTCTTCCTACCTATTCTTTTCCTTTCCAGTCCTTTTTGGAAGGACTCAAATTGTCCAAGTGCTGAAAGTCTAGTGAAAGAGGCAAAGACACAGACCCTGACAGAGCCAGGCTGGGACAGTGGGGAGGTTCCCAGAAAGCTGGTGAATGTGGAAGAGCTGCTGGGAGTGGCTTCCAGGGGCCGAGCCTCTGGCGGGGTCCACGCTGCTCATTCAACTCTCAGCCAACTGAGCCCACCAGGGTTTCATGGGACCCAGTCTAGCCTAGACCTGCACCAGGAATCAGGGGTTCTAGCTCCCGAGCAGCACCTCCCAGCTGGAGAGGCATGCCACCAATACCAGATCTGTTTGCTGCCTAGCACAGAATCCGCCTCCGTCCCCGATACCTGAGAGACGTGTCTGAGGTGGACACCAGGACCACGATCCTGGGGGAGGAGATCAGTGCCCCCATCGGCATCTCACCCACTGGATTCCACACCATTGCCTGCCCTGATGGGGAAATGAGCACAGCAAGAGGTACGAGCCAGCCGGGCAGAGCCCCTTTCCCGAAAGTGGGGGGTGGGGGGGGTGCCTTCTGCATAGCAGGGCCTGGGAGCCCCAGCGTTTCTTTCTAGAAGGGCCTTACAGACAGCAATCTGGTTGACATTAAGGAAAGTGGGAAAGGGAGGGCTTAAAGCTATGTTTGTACAACATTTCACCTAAGACTGAGACAAAAATACACTTTTCATAATGAAGACTCATGAGAGTGGGAAAGTGGCCACAGATGAATAGGAAGGTGTCAGAATCCCACCAAGTCACCCCTCGGATGGGGGCTGCCAGCCCCTCAGACTCATACAGTCTGTGGGGAAGTGGATACTTAATGTAGCCCCAAGGTTAGGACTCTCCTGGGCCCCTATGGGCCAGGCCTAGGGCTGAATGGTGAGTCTCTGAATTTAGAATGAGGCAAAATTCACAACATCAAGTCTTAACACAAGACCCTCACAATTGCTCTTGCCCGCATATTCCATTTACTTTCTTGGCTGACCTCGTCATCGTGTTTGACAGGAGGTGTCTCCTTAGTAAATAAACGTCATCCTCTCCCCACATACACCACAACCACCACTAATAATAGTTATAATTATAGAAGAGAAGGGGTGGGGCTGAAAGTACTCTAGAGACTCCTCTGTTGTCTTCACTCTGGCTCAAATCTGTTTCTGTGAGTTCCCCAGGTCTTCCCTGGGGTCCTTTCCTTTGACTCCACAATGAAGGAAGCAATGAATTCAAGGATTCTAGAGCTGAATGTGACATCTATCTGTTTGGCTTAGGAGCTGGTTCTGTCTAGGTTGAACTCGGAATAGCCTATGTGAATATTTACTATATTTCACAGCTGAATACCTTGTTTGAGGGGAGGGGAGAAAATAGGGTATGAATTGAAAATATTAATTTTCTTTTTTCTTTTTTTTTTTTTTGAGACAGAGCCTCACTTTGTCGCCCTTGGTAGAGTGTCGTGGCGTCATAGCCCACAGTAACCTTCAACTCTTGGGCTTAAGTGATTCTCTTGCCTCAGCCTCCCGCCACAACATTCAGCTATCTTTTGTTGCAGTTCTCATTGCTGTTTTAGCTAGCCAGAGCCAGGATCAAACCCTTCACCCTCAGTATATGGGGCCAGCACCCTACCCACTAAGCCACAGGTGCTGCCCCTAGAAATATTAATTTTCGATTAGACCAAATTCTCTGCTCATGGGTTGTACCATGGCAGTGACAATGACGTGGGGAATCTCGATGGAATGATTAAAGTAGGAAACAAGGACCTCGCAAGTGTGCAGCAGCAGCAGCCACAGACAATCCCCACCACCCTCATTACCCCCAGCATCCCTACCGTGCAGAATTGGCAGTTTAAAGAATGCTTTGGCATCTAGTGTCTTATTCAATCTCCCCACAACCCTAAAGTGAGGTTCTCACATGTAGAACTCACATCTGGAACTCACATCTACTTCATGGCACCCTATTTTACAGATAAGGAAATGAGAGTCTCAGGGACACGTAGCACGGCAGTGGTAGAGCTAGCTAGCATTCTTCTAATCACAGATGCCACACTGTCTCCACTACCACGTCCAGGCTTCTCCGTGGGGACTTCACTCCCTCATCCTCTGCCCTCTCTAACTCCTTCCTGCTTCAGTAGGTATTCATAAGAGGCCCACTTTCCTATCTGAAGGCTGCAACACAGCCAATGTGGCTCTGGAGACTACACAACATCTCTAGCTGGAAGTATTTTATTCGGAGTACATGATCTGTATACAGAGGGGGACCCAAACTGCGTTAGACTTCTCAGTCTGGCCAAACACCTCCCATCCCAGCCCTACAGGAAAGTAGAATATAAGTTAAGCTTTATCTGCAGTAACAGGGCAAGCTGGCCAGAAACCACTCAGGCTCCCAGGGCTTCCCACCCTGGTCCAGATGCCTCTGCCCTCCGACCTGAGGGGTGTTTTTGCTTTGCAGCTGCCCAAGCAGCCGGTGTCTGCTACATCACCAGCACGTTTGCCAGCTGTAGCTTTGAAGATATTGTCGCTGCTGCCCCAGGAGGCCTCCGGTGGTTCCAGCTCTATGTGCAGTCAGACCAGCAGCTGAACAAACAGCTGGTCCAGAGGGTGGAGTCCTTGGGTTTCAAAGCTTTGGTAGTCACCGTGGATGCCCCTGTAGTTGGAAACAGGCGACACGACATTCGAAACGGATTAGACTTGAAGAGGAACTTAATGCTAACAGATCTCCGATCACCTGGAGAGGTAGCAAACGAGGCAGAGTCTGTGGGAGGCCTCCCAGGAGGCCGGTTCCTCCTGCCCGCTTCTCTTTTCCTCCCTTCCTCCTTTCACATATTTGTACTGAGTGGCTGCCAGTGCTATGCCAGACACTGGGGACACAACTGTTCAAAACGCAGATCTGCTTTCTGCTCCCCAGAGCTTCCCGATAAACAGAACATAAGACCAATTATCCTCACCCCTGAGGCTGCCCAGCCTCTGCCCTGAAGTGTTCTGCCAGAGCTGGACACTGAGAAACGGGAAAGCCATAGAGAGGATTTTTGCATGAATAGGTGCGTAAACTAAAACATCCAGCATTTTCTACTTCATGGCACACTTAGAAAATGCTCATTTTGGATGGTGCAGGTAGATAAGCTAGCAATGAAGGAGGTACTCAACAGCCATGGCAACTGGCCACCTGTCCAGCCAGCCCAGGTGCCACCCTGCTAAGATGGAGGGATCAGTATCTCTTCACATCTAGAACTCAGCTCTGGATCAGCAGGGTACTGGACACATCTGTTTGGAATCCCTGAACTAGGTGACTACAAGGGCACTTTCTCCACTAAAATCCTACAATTGCATGGCATGGAGTGCCTGAGAGAGAGAAAGACACGGTAAACTTAAGCCCTTGCCTATAGTAGAGATAGTAATGTCAGCCTTTTCAACCAACAGGCAGCTGTGCTACCCAATCAAGTGCTATTCAACAATGCTACTCACTAACCACAAACTGGCCTTGGGGTGCTCCAATATCATTATCCAAAGTCTAGAGAATAAATATTTGGTGAGCATAATGAGCCAAGGGTAAACATTGGGTAAGATTACTGAAGTATTACTTAGTTCTCAACATTCTGCTCGTAACTGGACCCTCACACAGCACAGTGACCTGCAGATGTGTTTGGTCACCTGTCAGTACACTGCACTCTGAATTCTTTTAAAGAAATGACTGTGGGGTGGCGCCTGTGGTTTAGTGAGTAGGGTGCCGGCCCCATATACCAAGGGTGGTGGGTTCAAACCCATCCCCCAGCCAAACTGCAACAACAACAACAACAACAATAAAATATAGCCGAGCGTTGTGGTGGGCGCCTGTAGTCCCAGCTACTTGGGAGACTGAGGCAAGAGAACCACCTAAGCCCAAGAGCTGGAGGTTGCTGTGAGCTGTGACGCCACGGTATTCTACTGAGGGTAACAAAGTGAGACTCTGCCTCTATTTAAAATATATATATAGAGAGAGAGAGAAATGACTGTGTGGCCTTGGGCATGATGGCTTACGGCTGTAACCCCAGCACTCTGGGAACCTGAGGTGGCAGGGCAGGAGTTTGAGATCAGCCTGAGCAAACCAAGACCCCATCTCTTCTAAAACTAGAAAAACTAGCCAGGTATTGTGGCAGGTGCCCGTCGTCTGGGCTAATGGGGCGGCCAAGACAGAAAGATCACTTGAGCCCAGGAGTTTGAGGTTGCTGTGAGCAAGGCTGATGCCACGGCACTCTAACATGGGAAACAGAGTGAGACTCTGTCTCAAACAGGAAAAAAAAAAAAAAGACTGTATCTTGTTTGTCTTTGTGTCCTCAGATCTTGGCATAATTATTGAGTAGTCACATGATTAATGGCTGATGAATAAGCAATTAAAGTAGAAATCCTTTTCTACAAAATTTTGTTAAGAAAAAAAGCCAGAAAAAAAAAAAAAAAAAAAA